ATCCCTCTGATACGAGTTTGATGCTTGCGTTACGGGTGAGAAAAGGGGTTTTGGAGATGCGAGGACATTGAGTTACTCATGAAGTAGGAGATTTGCTGATTTGGTTTGGAGAAAGGTAAATTCTCATCCTTGGTAGCATGTTTATCTCAACATCGATTCTAATCATGACGAATTAACATGAATTATACTCATCTGTTTTGGATGGTGATTTGAAATATGAAACAAGTTCTCCGCTTTGGGAAACTATGTTACATTAAAAAAAAATTTGGGGGGGGGGGGTTAATTTGTGTGAATGTAAACGAAAGATCAAATCTAAAACTGAACGTTTGAATCCAAGTCCGATTCGATTAGCTTTATAGAAGTAATAATGTTTTCTTACACAGTTACACTGAATCTAATCAACACATGGAATTTAAGAAATTACATGCTTGCCCAGGTTTTTTATGGGGCGCAAGTCTATTAAAAGTTAGTCCACTATGTTTTTACTTCGTACTCTCAAGTGATGTTCTTACTTAACACCGCTGCCATAAACCTGGTGTATAGTGGGTTGTGGAAATTGGTATTTTACCCAAATTATAAAGGTGTAATGGTAAAAGAGTACATATTTTGTTGTTTCGATTTGCTATTAAAATGTGTTTCAGTTTTTTTTTCTTTCTCTATCTCTCACTTGGCTTTTCAAATGGAATGTAAACCATAAATATTTATTCTAGATTTTAAGTCAAATTCTAACATGGATTGGAAGCCACTCTTAGAAGAAGTTTATCCATCTTTTGGGACATGTTTGTGTATATGGTTGTTTTAGTGTTTGTGTAGATGTATTTTGATTGATAATCATTTACTGCTAGGGTCTTAAGTTACGCCTTAATGGTTGGAATATGTTTTTTTCTTAAATGGTCTTCCACAAATTTTATTGATGAATAAGTATTTGAACTAATATACAAGCAAGGATATAAAAAGATAATCAACCAGCGGGTGGCTTTAACTACAACTCTATGTAGAACATGGTTGAAACCTTCCTTTGTGGCACTAGCTTCTTAAATCTTTTTTATGATAGGATTGGATATACTCATGATTTATTCTTCCATACAAAAAAAAAACATGCTCCAGAGAAGCTTGGGATCTCTGCAATAAGGATTTAACTCAAAAAATTCTTACCTTAAAACTTCATTTCTAGGAAGCCATCTACCTCCTTTGGCCCATTCAATATTCGTGAAAACTTCATCAATGACCTTCATCAGGGGATGCATTAAATTTTATTTTTATTATTTTTATTGTTAGACTTTGTGTTTTCATTGTATGCATTCTGCTGGATTGCTGGATTTTGACTATCTTTTAAATCTAAAGACATGTCCAGAATATTCTCTTTTACTGTTTTTTACTATTTTTATTGTTAGACTCTGTGTTTTTATAATGGGTTTATTACAAAACACTTTATTTCAGTTCTCTTAAAATAAAACTATTTCATGTTTAAAATCAGTATTGGAACTATAGCTTAACCAAGATAGTGGTCAAAACTAAAAATTAACCCAAAATTAAAAAATTGAATACTTGAAAATCGGATATTTAACTGTGTTTGGATATAAATAGGATAATTTCCAAGCCGATTATATTATTTCCATATCTAGATTTTGAATTTCCTAATATTCTCTTACTAATTTAAGATAATAAATTAAAAACATTTATTACTCTCCTTTCACCTTTATTTGATCTTGTTTTAATTTGCTATATTAAAATATATAATATAAATATAGAATAAAAATTCATCTTTTTTTAATATGTTGTCATTTGAAATTTTCAAAACGGATATATATTACTGAATTGTCTAAGAAAATATTATTACAAACTTATAATTTTATTAAAATAAAGTTTGGATATCTAAATCGGGTTGGTTAAATATTTTGGTTAAATCTAAACGGGTTGGTTAAATATATTCATGAAATTTTAAATTATACTTTATTGATAGAAAAAAATATAAGACATACCGCATCAGTTAAACATTTTGGAAAATGGTTTTAAATCATTATAAACATGACCAGTATGCTTCTAACTACGAATGAGCATGAAGTTTTACTTATCGGGCTTTCAATTTTAGACTTTTTGTTCGGATTAATAAAGTTATTTGTTTGAGCATATAAAATTAAAAAAGTTTCAATATATTATACTTTTAAATGTTTGAAAAGTTTAAAATATTTTAATATTGAAACCTTTAAAATATTCAAATAAAAAAATTTATAGAATAAAATATTAGAAACAGATCAGAATATGTTTTTTGCAATGAGTCAGAACATGATACACACGGAAAAT